CTGGAAAGAAGAGCATGGGGGAAGGTGGGCTGTCAACCTCTTGGGTGAGCTTTAGTGCGATGGCCACCAAAACTGAAGGTAGAGTGATGACCACACAGTGGACAGCATCACGTTCCTGACTTCTTCCTTAGAGGGGGTAGAATAGACGGCTCCTGAGAGGGCATGCTTGCTCAGACACGTTGGAACAGCGAGAAGCTGTGGGCTAAGATTGCTAGTGTATAGCTTGCCACCAAACTCTGGATTGTGTATGCTTCCTTCTATGGCTCCTGGGAAGCTGGCCATTGGGAGAAGAGTGGGAATGGGAGAGATAGACGGGGACAGATACTTATCAGTTTCTCCAGTGAGGGTGTTCATGGGTCCCAGACCTGGGTACCAGCTGCTTTTCACCATCTGTGGATGATGCAGGTCACAGAACGACTAGATGAGCAACAAGAACTATGATTTCAGCGCCCTGGGTCTGTCATTTTCCCACCCAGCCTCCCAAGTGGTTCTGTTTACCTCTTCTTCTTAAATATTTACAGTATTGCTCCCGAGACTCTGCACCAGAATTGGTAATTTTGCTAGCAATGGTCAGAATGTTGGCTTCTTGAGTGCCTGCCATATACCCATCTGCATCACATGCTTTATCTACTTTGTTTCGGACCCTACAGAAACCGGCGAGATTCATCCTCTCCCCAGTTCACAGATGAAGAGACCAGAACACAGAGGGCTTATTGAATTGGCTGGATATCCTGACTGGTGATTAGCCAAACCAGAATAGGGACAAATGATTTTCTCCTTTGAGTAACCTCACATGGCGTTCAAAGTCTCCGGGTCAACTTTATTTTCATAAAGTCATGGAGAGGAGTGAACACTACCTCCCCTTTGCATGGAGTCCATGAAGGTCTTAGCCTATCTTTCTGCAGTCTGCTTTTAAGAAGGCCAGAGGGAAGCTACTTCTGAGGACCCTGGTGTAAAGAGAAGCTTTTTCTTGAGAGAAGCCTTCCCGCCAGCCTGGTTCTAGAGCCACATCAGTCCCAAATAAACACACAGGAGGCTATATTCATTACGAAGCTGTTGGCCTTGCTTGTTTCTTACTGGCTAGCTCTGACTTAAGTAATTACCCCATAATTGTTAATCTAAGTATGTTTCTTACTGGAGAATAGTTCCGGGCTTCCTACCCCATGGCGTTACATGTTGACTCTCTGTGTTTCTCCTACCCAGAGTCCTTCTGGACTCCTAGTCCCTCCTATCTTGGTTCCTATTGGCTCAACAGTGCTTTATTGACATAATCACAGGATCTCCCACATCACCCTGGCAAAGGCCTCTCTGTGGCCCATGAGGACATTTAGGACCTGGCTGCTGTCATCAGTCTCCCCTTCCACCTGCTCGGGCTCCTCCATCCATTTCTTACCATCGTTTGATCCCCCTTCACTTTGTGTTATTCATGGTTAGACTCTGCTCTTACCCTCATGCATATTCTTATGCCTGTTGGTAATCAGCACTTCCTTTGTGCCAGGGGAAATGACTGAATTAGAGTTTGACCTGTTTTCCTCTGTCCTTATATTTTTGGTTGTGAGCCTAGCCTTTAAAGGCTGAGCTATCCCTCCAGCCCTTTCTTCTGTCCTTATCTTATCCATCCTCTCATCTTCAAGTCTAATGTAACCTCCTTGAGAGTTCCCTGATGATATCTTGTCATCTCAAGCTGGCTAGCCTAGCCCTTTCCATCAATGTTTGTAGCAGTTCTTTCTTTGTCTTAGGGACTGGGGTGTGTGTGTGTGTGTGTGTGTGTGTGTGTGTGTGTGTGTGTGTGTGTGTATGGAGGGTGTTTTATTGTTACATTGCCCTTGAGGATTTGGAGCTAAGGACTGTACCTACTGTCATTGCTCTGCCCCATACATACTAGAGTCCCAGTAACTATTATATAGTGATCTATGCCTTTAATTCCAGCACCTGGAAGGTAGGGAAAGGTCAGTCTCTATGCATTTAAGGGCAGCCCACTCTATACAGCCATTCTGGGTTAACAGGGGCTGCATAGTGAGATTCTAGGAGACCAAAAAGAGCTCTTGCTTTTCAAGTTTTCTGTATTTTGCCCAGATGTGCGTCTGACTCTTGTACCAATAATGTTATATACATGGTTCTCCTAGAATAGACAGCAAAGTCATCTGACCAGATTCATACATGGCCTGCTCATCTGCTCTGGATCTCCTGGGGGTGGCACGATCCTTGGTGAAGGTTGAAGAACATTTAGGTCACTCAAGCCCTTGGTAATGGCTTTGTGATGTGTCTTTGAAGTGTGCTGGTGGCTGAGTAGCAAAAATGAAACATTTTTGCAGATGCAGTAGGGGAAGCTAGACCCCTCCATTCCACCATGCCCATCTTTTACTCAGAATTCCCAAGGACCTTATGGCACTACACATTGAGTAAGTTGCAGATGGGAGGCCCTCACACTGTGGCTCTGATTAGTGAGGGCTTGATGACTCCGTTACTGTCCCAGTGGCTGTGGGAGATGTGGCCTGTGAGCATGGTGGGCAAGGCTCAGAAGGGAGTGTGCACCGCCATCTGCCCTTTCCACCTTTCATGAAGAACGCTGAAGCTCAGGGCTTCTCAGATAAGCCAGAGGAGGAGAGCAGATGGTAGCTTTCCTTCTTGAGAATTCCAGTCTTTGAGTCACAAATGGGATCTTCTCCTCGTCTAAACCGACCTGCATAGAAAGAATTCTCTGCACAAGCCAGACTGGCACTTGTCCACTAATTGCCTCCCACTAGCAAGCAATGCATTGAGGCATCTCACTCACGTCCCAGACCCACAAGGGTCTTCACTGCCTGGCCCATTGCCCACAGACTTGCTCAGATCAATATTCTTACATAAGATGATGGGAAAAGCCATGATATTTTCTCTTCTTTTGAACCTTTTTTTGTAGTATACACATTTTATATTCTGACTTTAAGGCTATTTCTGCCGCACAGCTGCTTCACCGAGGCAGACTCCCACGAGCTCTGCTCAGGCCAGCTTGTACCCGAATATCCCTTCACGGTGTTTGGAGCCTGTGTTTGGTCCCATGATGAGGGAGGAGTGTGCCAGGAGCTTCGGAGATTCTTATTAAGCAGGTCACCCACGAAGCTATCTTCATGCATTTCTTTATTAAAAATAGCAGAGAACATGATAATACTTAAGCGCAACCACTTATAGGAACTTGGCGTAAAGATGTAAGTTTTCACTTACCATGTGATATTTCTAATGTCTGTTGCATTTTCTTTTCCCATACTCAAAAAGTCCTCTCCTCCATTTTCACCCTGGGATGTGAATAGAGATTACAATCGATGCTGTATTGTGGGTGGGGTCTGCCTCGGTCCCTGTTGGACCATTTCTGGTGTCCCTAGCACTGCTCTTGAGGATGGCACTCAAGCAGACACAAGATTATGAGGAAGGGAAGGACTCAGAAATAGACAAAAAGATTTTCCTTTGGAATTTCAAGTATGAATATCTTCTGAAAAAAAAGAGTATTCTGTGTTGAACCTACAGCAGTATTAATGAATGAACACTACAATAGGATAGGTTTTTATTTATCCCAAGAGAAATAGAGTAAAGCTTTCACCCTTCCTGGGACAGATTGTATCATGTATAGTGGGGAGTAAACCTTGACCTATGGCAAATGGTGGACTTCAAGCCAAATAGCCATTTACTAGGAACAGCACTTCCAGAAGTAACAGGTCCACATCAGCTGTAAGACTCAATGGTCTACGGTATCTGGAATAATTATTGGTTGCTCCAAGTATTTGAACATATGATGAGAGTTTTAGATCCCATACTTTTAAATATTGCTTTCTTTGATACACTACAGCTTTTAAACAAGCAAAATCTATTATAATCTCCTTAGTCATGGGAGAATCTGAGACACAGGGAGTTGTGGGTTTCACCTAAACCACATGGCAGCATTAGCTCTGAGGTGAAGCTGGCATGTTCAGAAAGGGAATCATTTAGGCCATGCCCCTGAATAGTAATGCGGTTTTGGCCAGTCCAGTCGGTAAGATGAGGGCATTAGAGTGGGACAAACCTATCACGCAAGCTTTGGGACTGCCGTTGACAATTCTTCTGCCTTTCTGTCTGCTGCAGTCTGGTACAGGCTTTATCTGTTGCCTCGTAGGTAGGAGGGACAATGAAGATGTGTTTGTGTCTGTTTATAGGTAACAAGGTCCCTAGCAGCTAGAGCTGGCATGTGGGCTTGGACTGCATTCTGATAGCTGGTTGGAATTACAGGATGGATTTATTTACCATTTATTCAGTTGTGTGTGGGGCGGTAAAGATGATTTAATGGGCTCTGAAATCCCTGAATATAGAAGGCAGTATGAAGGGCAAGGTCTCCTTATGTTCCAAGATATGGGGTTAGAAGGAAGCTTGTACCCTGATTTTCTTAAAAGTATAGCCACTGAACTCAAATTGCATTTTATGCTGCATATATGGCTCCTGTGACAACTTGTTCTTTGATAAAAACATATGTTCATTGTAGAAACCTTTCAAAACAAAATGATTATAAAACAACGACCCATCATTTCTGAAAGTGCACCTTACACATTTAAAAACAAGTTCCATGCAGTATTGTGCATACATGCCTGTAAACTTCTGAATTTGGACTTGTAACCCAGATTTTATTTCTAGTGTGAGGATGTATCTGCTTTTGACCCATTCCTGTTGTTGCATGAATTGGGTACTTTGCAATTCTTTGTTAATATATAGCACATGGGTAATTATTTTGTCACATAAAAACAATAGCTACAAAAACCCCACTAAAGATGGATTATTATCTTTTAAGGCTCTAGCACCCCTGTTGGATTTTTATAGGCAAATGATCAACTATTCATTGTTGTGATTAGTTGGTATGGTAACACCGGGGTTTGGAGAGACCCACCCTGTTGCTACCATCAGCAGACCTGCTGCTTTTCGCATGCCTAGTGTTCTGCATTATCATCAGAGTAACAGACTCCCCCCTCCCCTTTTCTTTCCTGTTGATTTTTCTTTAGCCTGATGAAGTCCTCCGATATCGATCAGGATTTGTTTACAGACAGTTACTGCAAGGTGTGCAGCGCACAGCTGATATCCGAATCCCAGCGGGTGGCCCATTATGAGGTAAGGATAGCCCTGCTCACTCAGCTACCACCGTGTGGCTATGGGACCCGAGGATACTTGCTTTTGGAGTTGGACAGTTTTCAGAACTGTAAGCTGTGAGCCTGTGTCACTTGAGTCAGGTCATGATGTGTTTTTTTGGGAATAGGAAGTTATGGTTGGGGACATTATTCTGAGGCCCTGGTTACCTCCCAGATTTTATTTAATTTCATTTATTAATATTTTAATGTGTGCTTCAGCCCCTAGAGACCGACTAGGCTTCCTTTCTTTGCCCTCTCTGTGAGATAGGCATGCATGTCAGATGTACAAATTCCACTGCCTCCTTCCACCTGAGATGTGAAGACAGGCTCGACAACCCTTGTTAGTCACACAGGGACACGTGCATCTCAGAGGGAATAAAGACACTTCCTCCTCAGAGAAGCTCACCTGTTGGTCAGTGTCCTAAAGGTTCACCAGAATGTAGGAGTCCCCTGCCATCAGAAGGTTGGAGTCCCCTGCGATCACAACAAAGTTTCGGCCCGGATGATCTGGAAGGGCACGGTGATCCTTTGCATGGCAGGGGCTGGTGGATGCTCTTTGGTCCTGAGTTGGAAGAAGAGGATGGAAAAAGAAGGGTTGTCTTTTAATCAGGGAGGAATGAGGTGCCTGGAGTGGAGAACAGGGAGCTGGGGATCCCAAGACACTGAGTGTATTCTGGTTTCCAAAGAACCCACAGCTATGGGAGTAGGGGTTTTTCAGGTGTGATGACTTGTAAGGAAGCTTGGATTACAGGGCTTAGCCAGCAACTTTTGGTTTTCATCTTAAGAGTTTCATGAATGCCAGTTGTCACTCTCACTTACTGAACTGCTCTGGGCCCCAGGTTTCTCTGTGCACCATGGAAATAATAAGAACACACTCATATATACCCGGAAACACAGCGCACCAACTCTGCCTTTTCCACAGGGGTTTGTGTTAGTGGAAATGTTTTGGAAGCTAAGTGTGTCAAGCATGCGAAATTCTTTTATTGCCGTTGTCTCCTTTGCTGCCATGCTTTGATGATGGCAAACAAACAGGCTCTTTGAAGCAGCTGTGAAATCAACATCTATGGGAGACAGGCAGTGCAGTTACCCACCCCACCAATCCACGGGGGCTTGGTTCCAGAAGCTCACCCCAGAAGCTACTCAGGTCCTCTGAGTGAAGTGGTGTGATATTTACAGAGAGCCTATGCCCGTCCTCCGGAGTCTTTCAAATAATCTATGGATCACTTACTGGCACAGTGCCTATTTGCATAGATTCAGCATAGCATTGGCTTACGGCAAATTTAAACTTCGCTTTTTGTAACTTTGTGCAACACCTCCCCTACATGCTTTCGTTTTATGGGGAAATCATGGACCTGGAGGCTGACGCATTATTCTTTTGTCAAGAGGGAAGTGAGTGCTGGAAGCAGCTTCCAGTGAACTTGTTTACGAGGAACAAACCCATTGTTTTGGGAATGATAAACTCTCTAGTTTCTGTGGATGTTGTTTGTAGGCATATACATAACTATGAAATACCACTAAAGAGCAGGGCAACTGTGGTGATATCTCGCTTGTACAAAGAAAGCCTGTCTGAGGGTCAGAGAATGGAGTTTGCCACTAGCCACTAGCTAACCATAGAGGCCTGCTGTGTCTGACAGACATTTCTGTGAGCCAGGATCATCTGAAGGACTGGACCACATTGGCTTGGAACTATGGTTAGCCAGCAGCAAGCTCCATTCTCTGACCCTCAGACAGGCTTTATTTATACAAGTAAGACAGCACCACAGGCAATGTTACCTGCTCTGCAATTACGTTCTCTCTGCATTAGGCCTTTTGTTTTAACTTGTAATCATTGTTCTCAGTGTTTGAGGATAGAAAGGATTATGTTTATTTGATTCCTGACTCCTGAACAGTACCTGCACATTCTAGGTATTTTTATTTCTAGCCTTTGAGTTGGGGGAGGGGATGGGTCTCGTACCTAAACATGTCGGTGGTACTGACCAGTACTGTACTGTTAGCTGAACCAGAAGGCTGATGGCAGAATATTTCAAACGATGAAACTTTTAAATAAACAAACAACAACAGAAGCCCACCTTAGCTGCTCAACTAAAAGTGTGCTTGTTTTGATCTCAGCTTCTCTTATTGATGTATTGGACTCCTGCTGTGAAGTAATCTAATTGTTGATGCTGTGTGTTAATTGAATGTAGCATGCGTGAGTTAGAAAAAACGAAGCAATCAATAGATCCTCCTCGAGCGGTGCCATACATCATCTAGCAACATTAAGTGCATTTCTTGAGTGTGGATGGACGCTGCTCCTTTTGCTTGTCTGCTCCTCACCTTCCTCCTGTCAGAAATAACCTGTGTGTCCCTGTGTGTTCTCACTGCAGAGGAGTGGAGGCGGTGTATGACCAAGGCAGGGCCTAGCATCCCTTATATGGGTCTCTTGACCTCATTTTCTTGTCTTCCTGTCCCTTTTTTTGGGACACTTATGCTGGAGAATGCCTCAGATCACCTGAGAGTATTTGAAAACTGGTGTTCTATCCGTCTGTCCTTGGACTCCACACACAAGCCCTGCTGACTTCAACCTGTAGAGTTAGTTTCTTGAGTCACAGGAATGCTGTGCCCGTGACTCTCAGTGCTTTGCTTTGGTGTTTCAGTCTGACTTGCTTCTCCAGTTCTGACTGGTAATAGCCTCTGCTACCCTATGGGGACAGACCAGTGAGCATCCACTGTGTATTCCTATGTGACTAGCATACTAGCGTTAGATATGGGAGGAGATTATGAACCAGTAAGAGAAATAGTCTTTGTGTCCAAGAAGCTCAGGGACTCCGTGGGGAGGAAAGGTTACCGAGTTCCACATGACTCAGACACCCAAGTGACAATGTTCAGTACCAGATCTGTGAGTTCCCCACTAGCTCCACGGACCTAGAGATCTGCTCTCCCACACAGACAGTTTGGCTCCCCTGGGGCGTAGTCAATCATACTCCTAAGGGTTTAGATGTTTAAAGATCTACACTCATCACAAAGAACAATTGTGGCCAAAAACTTGCTGGAAAATGTCATGATTTACCCGGGTTTTAAGCATGGGTCAATTTTAGGAAGTAATAAATGACATTTGATTCCAAAGAATGTTGTAGAGGCTGGTCTGGCTTGCTGGAGGATTCAGGCTAGGCAGGGCACCCGGGTAAGCACATAGAGAGAGGATGAGGCTGGTGGTGAAAACTCTCTTGTGTGCATTTGTGCGCGTGTGCCTGTGTACATGCTATTGTGTTTTGGGGCATCTTTTGATGATGGTGAGTTGTTGGTGGGAACTAGAAAAGCTTTCGATATGTTTTATGCCTCAAAATTAGTAAGTTAGTCTCTTGAAGTAGAAGAAAAACAAGCAAAATGGGTTAATTGCTAATATCTACATGCCTATTTAACTGATGAACCTTTACAGAGGGGGAAGAAAAGCCTGTTTTTAATTGACCAGACTGTTCTGGTCTGTACTTGAACATTTTTCTCTTTGCATATGAAATCCTGATGTAAAAACAAAACATCAGGGCACTCAGACATTCTTTTCTTTTTTGTGTCTTTTATTTTTTACTTGATAAGCAGTGGAAAATATAATTAATTGTTGTCTCTGCCCATGTGTGAATAGTCAGAGCTAACACACCGAGCACATGCAGAAGAGAACACTTCAGGGTGAGGTGCCTAATGTTACAAAGATCAGAAATCGTTTCTTGTGGGGGGAGCACTGGAATGATCTGCTGTAGTTTCAAGAGGCTGAAGGATAATTTCTTGCAAAAGGAAGAGTTGCATGCATGAGTGATGGGTGTGGTTCTCTGATGTACAGGAGGATGGAGAGTTGTCCCCAGTAGATGACGAGAAATGAAGCCCAAAGCATAGAAAACCTTACCTTCTCTTTCTCAATACATATACTATATGCAGTATTCTGTATTGCTATATATATTATAATTATCATATAAATATACAACATGTATTTATTTATATTTTAGTAAATCCAAGGGAAGAAATAGTTCAGATCTAGAAAGAAAGTAAGAAGAATTACTGGGCAGGACTCATGTAAATGTCAGTAACAAATGTCAACCCAACTTCTTGCCTCTTTCTACAAATCTCTGGACTTTGCTGTGGGACAGGTCTAAGCAATTGCTCTTTGTAGAGTCAGTGGCTATGTGTGATGGTTCATCATGATTGCCAATTTGGCTGGATTTATCATGGAAGCACACTTCTTGGTGTGTCTAGGAGGGTGTTTTCAGAAAGGCTTAATTAAGGAAGAGCCTCCTGAATGTGGGTGTGGCCTGTGGCTCTGGGATGAATACAAAGGAAAAACCAATCAAACTGGGACATCAATGGCTCTCTGCTTTCGAACTGGCAATGGAGTTTCTCTCCCACCACGGTGCCATCCGTCTATGATGGACTGTATCCCCTCATGCTGGGAACGAAAATAAACACATTCATCTCCTCTCCACAGGAATAGCCTTGGATTCTTTCTGATCAGTGGCCGGGGCTCTAAGAGTGGACAAAACCACCAGAGGTATATGCAATTCTTACTTTGCTGACCTGTGAATAAAACAGATGTTAATGCCACCTGCTCCTCCTTCACTCTAGGGTAGCTGTGATGGTAATATTTCCCATCCAGAAACAGAAGAACTGGAGACAAAGTAGCTTAGGGCAACCAGAAGTCTAGGCACAGCTTTCTCCCCCTTAGGGGAGTGAGGGAAACTCCCAGAACAGCATTTTACCTCCTGAGGAGGGACTTCGTTCTTTGCGGTGGCACTCATCCCCTGAACCATTCCCTGTTGAACATCCTCCTGGACCCGTCTGATGCGGATCTCAGGTCCTGACCTCCGTCGCTTCCTTCCTATGGGTGATTTCAGGCTCGTACAGTGCTCTGTGATTTTTTTAAAAGTCAGAATCATAATTTCCTTAGTAATGTGATCCTCTCAGCCATCCAGCAGGCGTTGGTTACAGCCGCTTTCAGAGAGCTATGTGTGTCACAACCAT